AGACTCAGTCTTCACATCCGTTCTCCTGGATGGGATAATAATACGAACGCACAATGGAAACAGATAGGACAGATGGGCGGCGTATACCTACGTACCTAATACCGCTGGGGCAACTGCAACCCCTTGCTGCAATGGTGGTAGTTGTGGCAGCCAACCCACATTTCATCCATTTTTTGCATCGCAACGATTGCAATGACCCCATTGCAAATCGCTGGCAAACCGCAGGGTGATCAAGCATGGGCAGCACCTCTATCACAGCATACCTGTAACAGTTGCTGCATAGATAGGTACGCCTGTATCGATAGCACACATATGTGCTACTGAGCGTTATATTTGACCCGTATTAAATTAGCAGTGCGAGCTACCTTAGATTGGCAATATCCCTGCGCGAAAATATTGAATTGTTCATGTGAACATCATTCGTCTAACGGCCTATCTAACGGCCCCATTGCACATTGTTTAGGAAGCGAGCTTGTGCAAGATCTCCGGCAAGTTCACCGGATGAGAGTGATGCGCATTTTCGGCACACAACGCATCCTGAGAACATCAGCAAGCTCGATCGAACGGAAACTCATGCTTGCCCTGATACAGCACGCACCTGGAGAACGACTCTCTCGCTTACATTCTGAATGGCCGGCTTGGCATAAAAGCTGTGGCGGCGACATCTAGCCAATGAAGCGACAAGCTTCAGTTCATCTGTCTATGGCAATGCCCCGCACCAGGCTCGAAGCCAGAGTGTACCGGTACTCTGCTCTATTGTGAGTATTCCATTTCCGAACGTCAGCGTCACGTTGTCCGGGCTACTGGTCATCCTGGGGCCGCTGCACTATCCCAGCTCCCTGGCGATGCCAAGGAATCATTCCGGAACGCATGCTCCACTTAGGACCTCCATGAACTACCTGAGCTCGAAAGGCCTACGCTCGGAGGACCTACTGCCGCTGGACCTACTGCCGGGAGATAAGCACTCGTTATAGCCAATCCTGGAGGAACTACGCTCGGAAAGACCTATCGCTCGAATACTTACGCTAAGACTTACTACTGTTTTCCTGTTTGAATAGTGAGGATCTCGGAAGACCTATCGCTTGAATACTTACGCTACGACTTACCACTGTTTCCTTGTTTGAATAGTGAGGATCCCGGAAGACCTATCGCTTGAGTACTTGCGCTAAGAATACCACTGCTCCTTGTTTGAATAGTGAGGATCTCCGGGTTGGCATCATTGGCAGTTGGCAGTCGGCGGCGCCACCGACTTTTCTCCAGAGACAAACGGATCTAGTGGTGTCCAATCCCATCCTTCATCTAAAAATTTGCCTCGGATTCCGATTAAATTTCGAGACCATCTCTTGTATAGGCTTAATAGCCCTCATTTCGATCTGACGGAATGCTCTGTATCGGTCATCAAGACCTCCTGTCGGCACGATGGAAAATGGGGCCTGCTGAAAATGTCACGGGGCGTACATATATGGGCATCAAGGGCATACAGGCATACAGGTATGCGTGTCCCTTCTAAAATGGCGAGGGGACTTTTGCCTTCTTGCCCCACTGGTCGCACCACCCCTGGCCATGAACAATTCATAACTATCATCACACCGGCACCACTCGCCCCTCTTATTCCCCTCTGTTTAAGTTCTTGGTCAGCGCCTTGCTGCCGCCCAGCGGAAGGTGCCAACAATGACCAGAAGTGGGCAGGGTCAGGACATATTCACCCAATCCGATGGAGCCTTGTCATCACACACCGTCAAGTTACCAAGTTGCCACGTCGCCTGGTGCCCGGCTAGTTTTAGTTTTTTTAGTTTTATCCCCACCTAGGCAGGCCTACCCCGCTCCGGCCACTCCTCGTGTGCCGCTGCCCCTTGCTGCTTGAATATCCTGACTCGACAAACGGACAACGCCAGTAGGCAATCATCAATCACGGCACGGTCCTAAGGAGTAGGTCCTCCAGGAGCACGTCTTCCGATCGTAGGCTCCCGAGCATAGGTATCAACTAGCGTTGTGTCTTCCGAACGTAAGTCGACTGAGCGGAGATATGCCGGAGCGGATCCTCAACCCTCAACCAACCTAAAGACTCAGCGCCACGCACAACCCGGCCTTCTCTGAACAGTCATAGAGTTTCATGGTAATATCAGAGGCAACCTGATATTTTCCGGAACCCAGTCGCTGCGCCAGCAATTCATCGAGGAAGTCTTCAAACGCTCCGGACTGTCAAATCTCCTGCTCTTTCTTCTCTCGGGTTTGCCAACCGTCCCCACGGCAGCGAGCCCCGTCACAAATATGTACTCTTCAAACTAGGCGGAGGTCGCAGTCGTCGTGCCCGGGTCACGGCGGTGAGTTCAATGGCCGCCACGGGCACTAGAATACCCACGACAGTCCCTAGCCTTCCCCGACGCCGCTGCAGCGTCACGATGCACATTATTATGGAAGGTTCAACACACTTTAAGGAGCCTGTAGACAGGGGCGTACTTTCTCAACATATGTTGAGAAAGTGCGCCCCTGGTGGTGACCTGTGCAGCGAACAATGACGAGTCCTACGCTCAAGATATGTCAACAAACGGATTTCTTTCCGGATTGGTCCCATTTTCTTTTCAGAATTAGGGGAGCCCAAGTTGGACGCCCTCTCCCTATATCCCCCCCCCACCCACCCCCCCCCCCCCCCCCACACTGAATAGGAAACTTCACCCTGGCCCGAAGATCTCAGCATGCAGGGGGAGACACTCACACGATCCTAAGACATGAACACGTGTTTCGCATCTACCTGTAACTAGGAGGGTGCTGAAAAACTCAAAGATATGCGTACAACACGGTCAAAAGGCCTTGGAATGGCGAAGTTAGTCCGAGCTCATCAGGGGATGGGGAAAGTATTCAGGATATTGTAGCTGGGTCGATGTGAGTATGGAAATTCATAAAACTCACATGTGGCGGACAGCAAAACATATATTTCATTCAGTAATGAATATGAAAACTTGTGGTCCTTGCAACAGGAATCAAGCTCACTGTAAGCACAGATGCATGGGTGACACTGGCACAAATGGATCACACTGTTCTCCAACAAAGGCTCATGATTAAAACACTTGAAAAACATGCATTATGATATTATACTGTATCACATTAGCTGTTTGTTCCGGGTGTTTTTTGTTCTTGATCTGTTCCAAGAATGTCCTTCTGGATGTCCTCAATGTTGATACCTTTGTCAGCTATAGCTTTTTTAGCACATTCAGAGTACTGTTCAAACAGCTCTAGGCACTTTGGATCTTCTTCTAAATGGCCCTTCAAGAACTTCTCTGAAAACCATGCATTGAAACAATTATCATATTGCTTCTTTACCTCTTGGCACTCCTCACCAATGCTATTCATATTTTGACCTGTGAAAAGAAAGGAGGAATAACTGGAATAAATAAATAAAAGGTGCAGTTAGTACCAAGTTCTGAGTGCCAGCCTGTACCAGTCACTACCAGTCTGTAACATGACTTGCACATTTACTAAAAGGTTTGTATCTAAGTTTACTTTCCACATACTCATTATGCTATTTTACAGGTATATTTGGGAAAAATCATGAGTTCTTGGGTTAGGCCAATGAGAAAACAATCTGCTTTTAAACAATTGCTGCATTAAAACTAACAACTGCTATTTATGCAATAGTATTGATAATGTATTATTGAATGTTTTTGGCTGCCCCCCCCCCCCCCCCCCCTCATAGCCCATGGCTTGTTAGACACAAAATGGGGCAAAAAATAATCATTCCTTCGCATGGAACTTTTCTGGCTCCAACAACATTCACATAGCTTTTTAAACATTACCGTAGCTAATCTTACAGTAGTTGAGAATGAAAGGCTAAATATACTTCTTCAAGCTCTATTTGATGTGTCATCCAGTTTCATTATGAAATGTTGCATGTTAGTTAGCCCATTCGAGAGTTGAGCCTAGATTTTGTCTCTAAATCAGATTGAAACAACTGAACTTGAATGTCACTGCACTTTTAGATCCATCACAGTATTGCTGGTGCTAGACTAGAATTATTATTAACATTAAAATATAATTTACACTTTAATCCATATTTTGTCAAAGACATACCTTCATTTATAAATTATGATCTGTTGTTGAACTAGAATTTGATCCTGGATGCTGATGCCAAAAACATATAACTGAACATACTGCTTCTAAGGCAAATAACTAAACACATTTTTACCTTCTATCACTATAAACAGCCATGAAAGTAATAAGTGGGATAGGAAGGTTTTACACTTACTATGCCACACAGTTACCTCAACACCCTGGACATGCAGCCAAAGCAGTACTAAAATATAAGATCACTCATCCTCTCCTTGCCCATGATGTGCCATTCTGCTACTTACCTAATCAACCAGGGTAACATAAAGTTGCTACTAAGCATATAAACAAGTTTATTTGTACAATTATAATTCTTATCTGAACTGGAATTGGACTTGATCTGAGCTTCGATGCCAAAAATATAACTGGGAACGCCGTTTTTAATGCAAATAGCTAACCAAGCCCTTCTTCTACCACTTCACAGCTACGAAACTGACAGGAGGATGGGAAGGTGTATATTTAATGTGGCACGCAGTTACCTCGGCGGTCAAGGCATGCAGCAAAAACCCTAAAATATAAAATTACTTACCTCCTCCTTGCCAACGTGTCAATTTTCTACTACTAAAGTAATCGATCAGGGCAACATACAAGGCTTTTTTTACAAGACCTTCTTTCACCCCGCTTTTGTCATCGTTGCGTCATTTTACATGTTTCCAAGAAGTATGAAATAGAAGTCTTTCAATGAAATATTTAAGGATATGTTGTGCATAAATCGTGTGAGATAACTAGAAGCACAAATTTTATATCTAAATCGGCTACCCCTTGATCACATGCTATCACTTAAACCTTTCCAAAGGGTTTTGAACCCCATGGATGTAGGTTATCTACAAATATGACGTTATGGTGGCGATGAGCTGGAGGGTTGGTGGTTGCTTTCAGTCGATAGGCGTTAAAAATACCTTTGTTGAGTAGGGGGTGCGGTGGGTCACAATTAAATGGGAGTCCGAAACTGGGCTTATTCTTAGTTGATGCTGTTATCGAAAACGACCATTCCACAAATCAGTAGAGAGCGAAAAGAATGCGTCAGCTTTTCAAGGTCAGAAAGGTGATTCTATGATCAGTTCTCAGCGTTGCTGAAAACTACATGCAAGAATGAACTGTGGTAATGTGTTTTCTTAATGCTGTATGGTACTCTCCGATGATTAAGCTTTTGGCAAGCATTGTAAGCAAAATGTTTTGGATTATTTATCAAATATTAAACCGGAGTCAAGGCACTTATCCTGTACAATATACCCATGTTACCCATGTTCAGTATACCCATATTACCCATGTTCAGTAACCATATCTGTTATACTAGGTGGAATACTGCAACAGAAATGTTATTCTTTGGCTCATTGTTTGTGTGAAGGTTATTGTTTTTGAGGTTTTATAGTAATATATTTACATACTTAGTAGTTATATTTATGCCCATAAATTCTTCCTTTGATCATGTGTACAAAATTTAGGTCTGTGAAAGTATGAGTAAATACAATACCTTTGACATTAAATGTATCAGGAATAAGTTCAGTTCCACTGGTGCCTAGAGCTTAAACATTACAGAACCCTTCACAAAAGTCCACAGCTAAGTAGGGACATAGTCATGCAATTATGCAATTATTTTGCACACTCATCATGTGGCCACTCACCAAAGCCACCAAAAAATTTATTAGCTCTATTGTGACACATTTTCTAAGAATCAATCTGTGAACTTGAATCTTATTAACCAGGCAGGCATGCACATGGATCCCAGGAGTGGGTCCAGGTTCTCTAGCATTCCATGTGTACAGGATTCTGCTAGTTTTTTTCCCCATACTCTAGGCTTATGTTCATACTGAGGAACAGGTGTCAGGTAATATTTCAGTACTAAGATGATATTGTGGACTGTTCACATTCCACAGGCATGATGATGCAGCTAGAAACATTCTGTGTGGCATTAAAAGGACAATAAAAAACATTTTGCAACAGCTGCAAACCAAACCTGCTGCAAACCAAAACAGCTGCAAACCAAAACAGCATTCTGTATGAGTTTTAAGGGTGTACCAGTGGTACCTCCCATTCAAGAGTGCATTTTTTAAGGAGGCCAACCTCTGTAAGGAGATCTTTTTTTGGAAAGTTGTTACATGCAACTTGGGATTAAGGTTCATATCAGTGGTAGGTTGGAGGGCAGTGGCAGTAGCCAGTTGTGCATTCGACTGCCAACTGTTATATCATACTGTATTTGGGGCTGCAGGTGAGACTGGCAATGTGACAGCTACTGCCTGCCCTTGGGGAGTGGGCACTATCCAGGGAAAGGGAAAAAGCCTGGAAGCATGAAGAAACTACATAAAATACAGTCTATGGATCAAAGGCTTCAGTTCCAGGTAAGCTGTGAATGTGGTTTCCTAGAGCTCATACTTGCTTACCATTCCCTTTGAAAACAATAATTAGGCTGTGTTTGACCTGGTTGTTACGTCAGTTGTCAACTGCCAGTATTGTATGATTGTAATGCATGCTTGTGATGTGTGTGCCTGCTATCATTGCTACTTAGTGATTTGGCCTTATGTCAGATACAGGTGCCATAAAAGGGAATGTTCCAAGTTTTAGAATATTAAAGCAAGTATCACATATGATGAAATAATCACACTGATAACTATTGGTATACTTTTAAGTTGAAAAGACTGCTCTAGACAACACAAATTCTCTATTTAGTGACTGTCCTCCTCAATATGTCTTTGATCGATAAGGTACCTTGCACACCATTGATTGAGAGGGCCAGTGGACAGCTGCTGGCTGACAAATGCCAGATTTAAACAATTCAATAATGATGTGTTCTTGGCCTTAGTGCCTGCATGCTTGACAGAATGGCAGGATTTGAATGATGTTTTTATAGCATTATGGATACATGGTGGCATTGAAAAAGTCATCAACATGTGTACACACCCTTACATACGTGCAGTTCAGAAACTGAAGGGATTCAGGTCTCGAGAAAGGTAGGGCTGTGTACTGAACTCAATGATTTTCAAGCGGGCTATTTCAGTACAAACCCCCATGCAGATGTTGAATACTGTCGTTAAGGATTTGTCTCTTGCATAGAAAGTGTCATATAATTTCCTTGCCTTCCTCTGTTTATTATGATTTAGTGACATCAAGTGGTGATGGGATTTGCATTTGGTAGTAGGGCAGTAAAGTTTATTGGGTAAGCCACTGATCAGTTACGTTTTTTTAGCACAAAATGGCCAAAGAAGCCCACCTGCTTTCTGATAAATGCTCGTCATCGATAAGGTCAAGCTCAGGATATCACCTATAAAGACAGATCACTGATGATACGTTACATTCTTGTTGCAGTGCTATGCAGATACCGCCCTCAAATCGGGGGATGGTAACATCTGTCTCAAGATCGAATACAGTCACGATAAACCGTATGCACTTGTTCGGAAAACACGTGACAATTCAACGCTGGAGCCCTTGCCAGCTCAAGAAGAAGCCTGGAAAAGACATCTACCTTCATCATGTGATGAGTATAGGCCCGTCTCGACAGCCCACATCCAAAACGGACATCTAGAAGAACGGGACCATGAACACGAAAAGTTGTGGACTGCGGAGAAAAACAACGGTGTTTCCATGAAGCCTCCCATTGGATGTTGCGTGACCGCGCCGGCAGAAAACGCCAATAGTCTGGCTTATGTCTCACCAAACGCCAGTGGGCCGGACATTCAGCCACTGAACGACACTGGTGTGGGTACGGCCACGGAGCACGCCACTGATGTGGACACGGCCGTACAGAATGGCGACGGGGCGGACATGACAGCATCGAAAGAAAACTCCGCAGACGCGCTAGCGCGTCACGCGCGAGCACCGGATGTACCTACATCGAACGGACATCGTCCGGTTACAATACCGCAGAAGGAAAACGTTTCGGCTGTGCCGACGTTAAACGCGAGCGGTCACTGCGTGGCCCCGTGGGGCCAGAATGGGCAGGGTGTTGTGACGTCGGACAGTGCAGATTTCATGTGGGCAGGCTCAGACGAATACGACCCATTGTCTGCGGCTGAGAGGGGTTTAGAGTCTTTAAAAGCATCGCAAAACAAAATTCAGCCGTCCGAAACGGACAAAACGAGTGGTAGCTGCGCCCCAGCATTGCAAAAACAAACAGAATCAGATGTGATTACACACAGTGAGAACGACGCATATCAAACTGTTCCGAATGGAAGCACACATCTGATGAGCACTGATCAGAGTGGGTCACCTCAAAGCGGAAGCATGGCCGTCAACCAATGGCAGGCAAGCAGCGAACCTGCGACAGCCACTGCCGGTGAAAGCCGACCGTTGGCTGAGGCCGGCCAGGAGGCGCCGCGGTTGCGAGACGAGGGATCCGGCCGCGCGACCCTGAGAAGCGGAGTCCGCCACTGGGCGGCGGACCCGCGGCGACATGTCGGCGACAGGCGTCCCCGCCGGGCAAACGTCAGTTGGAAGCCAGGTCAGTCCAGCTCGTCTGTGGCATTCAGGTGCTGGTATTGCGCCGTGCTGGCTGTTAATGCGGGCCTCGTGAAACTGTGCAAACGGGACAGACTTGGGTTTGCGTATACCACAGGTGCGGGCTATTCGAAACATTGTTAGAAACGTACGTCCGTTTCTGGAGATACCAATGGAGTGCCGCTGGAATGACTTCGATGCATAGTCATATCGGCGTAAAGTTGTCCTGACCTCGCTCACGCATTCACGTGTAGTCATCCGAGGGGGGGGGGGGGGAGAGACCTCCCGGTCGCATTAACATGTCTCTCTGGGAAACAGGTCTCGTACTAGACGGAGTATGGAGCGAACCCTTATTTCGCATGCCCATAGGTTAAGCGATCAACATATCGCACGTTTCTATGCTTGAAAAAGACCATTACGCAAGAGGCTGCCGCCAGCGTACCAGCTACATGCCGCCCCCTTCCCCGATGGCCGTTGAGTAGCGGTGATCTGACGTGACCGTGTTCCAGCCGTCAGCGACCGGATGTGGACGAGCGGTGTGTGGCGGCGGCGGCGGCGGCGGCGACCCAGGCCAGACCGGGGGCGGCGAACTGCGGCCGCTCACCTCCGCGGTCAGTAAGGCTCGCCGGCCCGGTCCGCAGACAGGCGCGGTTGTGTTCGCTTTTAAGACGGAGGACCGCAAATGGTCCGCGAACGAGACGACTTGACAGCGAGCCACAGTGGACTGTTTGTTGTACGCCATGCTGCCATGGGCCCGCGCATGCTGCACAGTTGGGCGTAGGCTCGCGCTGACAGCATGGCGGCGGATGTTTATGCCGTGAACGAGGCGAAACAGCACAAACAGGCAAACAAGCAGACCTAGTAGGACTGCGATGCCGCAGAGGGGGTTATGCACACACTGCTCAATAGTTATCGTAGTTGGCCGAAGGCTCGTCACGATCCTGCTGTAAGTTACAAGCGTAAAAGCGTCCTGAAAGCATTCGACGTTAGCTGCCCTGTCAGTATCAGTAGAGAACTAATGTGGTGGTTGTCAGCTGTTAGTTAAGGAAAACGTCCTCGAACGGAATGGCATTGTCTAACGCGGAACTAGGACTGATCGCGGTGTTTTGCCCCGTAATGGCCGGCCAACTCATTCTTTCCGCGTCGTCTCAGTATGTGCCCCGTCATTTTCAGGCCCCCGGCTCGCCGTCATCAGAGCAGCTTCCCGCACCTTTTGGGCCGACAGCCTCCGAACCTACCCCGGCCCGGGCTGGGCACGCGTCGTCGCCGCCCGACTCGGAGGATCTGCGGCTGATTGTGGACCGGCTGAAGATGAAGCTGGAGCAGCAGATGAAGGCCAAGCTTGGGCTGGAGGAAGAGGTCAGCGGCTTGAGGCGGCGAGCGGCTGAGAAGGCATCCGTATGCTCGCCGGGGGCATGTGGTGCCGCTTCCCGTGAACGGGCGAAGGTGACACCATGGGGCCGGAACGCATCCTTAGAGGAGCAGTCCCAGTCCATCCCAGTCCTCAGTCCCAGTCCCCAGTCCCAGTCCCAGTCCCAGTCCCAGTCTCAGTCCTTGTCCCAGTCCCAGTGTTTTGTCTCAGCCCCAGTCCCAGTCCCAGTCTCAGTCGGTGCCTGGCCGGCCTGCGGAGGAACCGGCGCGCCGCCAGCCAATGAAACCGCCAGCGGGACGCACCCCGTGATGCCCATCGCGCCGGCCGATTGCCCACCGCCAGCCAGGAGTACTAGCCAGCACCCTCCGGCTCGGGCGCCAGCCACCGGGTCGCCGGGCGTGCCTCGGCCCCCGGCGCCACCGCGGCCGCCGGAGCGCCGCCTGGAAGCCACCCTGCAGCGGCGCACGGCCGAGCGGGACGCGGCGCTCCGCTGGCGGCGGCGCTGCCCGGGCGCTCGCGGCGCGCGGTCGTGAAGCCGCCGAGGTCGGCGCCCGGCTAGAGAAGGCGCGCGCCGACCTGGACCGGGCGAGGGCGGGGCGCGCCGCGGCCGGCGGAGGCGCGCGGCTGACCGAGGCGCGGGCCGAGCTCGGTGCGCTGAAGGCCGACCGGAGTCGGTGGGCGGCAAGCGCGGCCAAAGGGGCCGCTGAGCTGGCGCGGGCCAGGGTGGAGTTGGACGCGCTGCGAGCCGACGGCGAGGGTCCGAGCGCAGGCTGGAGGAGAGGGACGCCAAGATCGCAGAGCTCCTCCGCGAGCTCGCCTCGGCTCAGACGGCCGCCTCGCCCGCCGCCGCTCGGTCGCCGCACGGCGAACAGGTTACCTCCGCGCGGCAGACGGCGGTCCCCTATCCTCGCCGAGCGTCAGCTCATCGTCTGACGCTGGGCGGGCTGCACGACCGACCGCCGCGGCGTCGGCACCCAGCCCCGGCTGGGACGCGGGGACGTCGGTGAGCGGGCCGCTCGGTCCAGAGGCGGCTGGTGTCGGCCAGGCCTCGGAAGCCGGAGCGCCAAGCCCAGGCTCGATCCCGGCGGCGGATGCGGCGAGCAGCTCCACCTGGGGTGAAACGGAGGGCGAGGTCGACTCAGGTTCGCAGGATGCCTCGACGTGGCTGCGTGCAGAACGGGGTGTCGCCTATCGGAAATGATCCGACCCAGTACTACCTGGCTGAAGCGCCGCAGTCAGCCGGGCAGTTGGAGGACGATGAGGCGGACGACCGTCGTGCACAGGTGCTCAGCGACTCTGACGACGATTGGCGGACAGCAGGAGGAGGAGACGGCGCCGAGGCCGCCGCCGTCCACAGTTTGTCGACGATGCCGCTCTCTGTACTGCACCGAAACAGCCACCCGCCACACCACCCTGCAGAAGATCCCGGAGCTGGACGAGCTCTCGTCCGACTGGGAGACGGACAGTTCGGACGAGCAGTCGGCGGGCGAGCTGCGCGCGCTCATCGCGCGCCTGGAGGCGGAACGGTGCGCCGCCGAGGTGCGCGCCGGCGAGCTGGACGAGGTGGCCACGCGGCTCGACACCGAGCTCACAGTTGTCATCATCGAGTGCGAGGAGACGCGCCGACGCGCCGGCGACGCCGAGCAGCGGGCGCGCCGCGCCGCCGACGCCGGTGCCCGGCTGGCGGCCGAGAACGCTGAGCTGCGCCGCGGCCTGGCGCGGGCCGAGCTCGACCGGGCGGCGGCTGAGGCGGCGGCGGCGCCGCGGCGACCGGAGACGGCTGCCGCCGACGTCGGCCGGCTGGAGGCACGCCTCCAGGGTCGCGGAGGAGAGCGGCGTGCGGCCGCCCTGGCGCTGACGGAGACGACGCTGGCCGAGCTGCGGGCCTCGGCGGCCGTAGTGCAGCGGCTGGAGGAGCAGCTCGCCGCCCTACAGCCGGAGGGCAGTCGGCCCCTCGCCGCCGGACCCGCCCGTCCAGCATCATGCCGTCAGAGCAGGCGCGGAGAAGGCGGCGGGCGGACTGGGGCGGTCCGAGCCGCAGCCGGGCCGAGCCCGGCGCCGAGATCCGCCTCTTCTCGCTATTCGCCGTCCCGCCCGCCAGCTCCCGAGCGGCCGCCGGCCGACGCAGAGGGTCTTTTGGCGGTGCATGTGCCGTTAGCCAGCCCCTGTCACCGTCGCTTCCTACTGACCGACCACTGCAGGGAGGTGCGGCTTCGAACCGGGTGAGATCACACCGGAGCCAGCACTGGTGCAGGCGTATCGTAATGTTGATGCGACAGGTCAGGCGCTGGCCGAATGCCCGGCGGGCCGCGGCGACGTTTATCACATCCCATCCAGACCCTGCATTGGCGGAAAGTTCAGACGCCCTCTCCATTTGCGTTGCTTCTCAGGTCCGTGAGCGGAAGGAAGCAACACCCACTGCCTGTGATCTAGCGATCTGCTCTGAGTCCTCGGATGAACCGTCGGCATCCTGTATATCTGCTCTCCCGATATTAGAGTCGCTTCCTGAATGGGACAAGTCCTCGGCCCAACGGATGACAAAGCTAGCCAGTGCTGTCATCCGGACATCTTGCGGCGAGTCGGCGTCTCCTCCGCCGACTGACGGTGGCCGCGTGTCGCTGCTGCCACCCGCCGTGCGACACCGCCAGCTCCTCTCTGACCAAGACCCGCTCGAGCCCTCCGCCAGCGAGATCTTCGACTTCGACGAGCTTCGGTTCCGACCGCGAGCCGACCGTGGCAGCCGTGGTTGAGCCTCCCTGTCACAGCGACTCCGCCGCCGGCGTTTGACGGCGTCCGTCGCCATTTACGGCGGCGGCTTGGCGGCTGCTGACCCCCGGTCTGTGCGGCTCTGGGCGGCGGCCGCGCCCGCGGCAGCGCCGCACCAGGTGGTCGCGCTGACCGCGGCGTTGGAGACGGCTCGCCGCCAGCTGGCCGCCGAGCGCGCGCGCCGGCCCGAGTCGTCCAGCCAGCGGATCGCGCGCTACACCGAGCTGGAGGTGCGCCGCCTGCAGGACGAGGCCGAGCGGCTGCGCGCCGAGGTGGACGCGCTGCGCCGCGGCCTGCTGGCCGAGCGCGGCTGGGTGCCCGAGGCCGAGCTGGAGCGAGCGCAGCGCGAGAGCGAGACGCTGCGCCGGCGGCTTGACGAGCTGGCGCTGCGCAGCGCGACCGGGAGGAGGCGCTGCGCCGTCCGCCGGAGGGCGAGGAGGCACGACGACAGGTGGAGGCGCTGGCGGATTGTGTGGCTGCGATGGAGGAGTCGTTTCACAAAGATGGTTCGTCGCACGGACGTCCTGCCGAGCCAGGGGCGCCGCATGGGCCCAGTGGCGCCCCACTGATATCTGTTGACACGAGCGTGGTGTTGCACCGTGTACATGGCTCATTGTCGGTTCGCTCAGTCGAGCTGGATTAGTCACAAAGAGGGAATGGAGTCTCACGAATACGCCCGGACGTCTCAGCGAGCCGCCGGAGACCTTCGTACCGCCCTGCATGGCTGGATGCGACGGTGGCCGCGTCCGACTCGGTAGAGGCGAATCGGCGCTGAACTCGGCTTGCGTGCGAGAGAAACTGTGATCAGTATTAGTTGCACCGCCGGAAGGCGGCGCGGAGGGCAGACATGGAAACGGAGGCGTTCCGGCCAGTACGGAGCTCAAGCACTGGACGCCGTCGTTGACCCCGGAGGAGATGGAGACGTCTCCCGCGCTGGTACTTCAAATGTCCACTGCCGTCGGGAAAAGGCTGTGACCCGGCACAGTGTCTTGGTGAGGTGCCACCAGCGACTGGGGAAAGGCTCGACACCTCTCCTCCCCACCACTCAACCCCGGATGTCCCCCACCAAAACGCTGACGCCTTTGTCGTAACCGTAGTTGCCAGCCTTACGTTACCAATGTTGCCAGCCGCAGCCAGCTTCCTAGCGAGACCCTGGACCGGCCTGCGTTGGCGCCGGCGTGTCAGCACCGGTCGGTTTCGACCACACCCAGAGTCGCGCGGTCCTGGCCGGTCCTCAGTCTGCAAGGTCAGCACGCGAATGCGGCCGGCCCCGGCGCCACTGGTCGAGCGAGGAGCACGCTCGGCGGGCGGCAGTGGCAGCACGCGGCGCGGGCGGCGCCGTCCAGTCTGGCCCGCCCCGGCGCCGCACACTCTCCGCCGCGGCACTCCAGGTAAGCCAGGCCTTCTCCTTGTTCCTTTGTGTTTGTCCCACTTGATGGTTAGTGTATTGCATGAGGTCCCGCGCACTCTGGCCGTTTTCCAAGCGCATGTACGGACTTTGAACAAAGGCTGGACGTTCTAAGGTAGCATCAGCTTTTTTAATGTAGCTGAAACACATCACAATGACGATGTATATGCCATGCAGCTTATCGAAGTCGCAGACAGGTGTATGGGCAAACACAACTGATATATCTGTATAGCTATATAAACGCACATTCATCTGCGATTTCATCTACTCTCACTCAACGGCCGGCCGTCCGCGGCCAGGCCGCCAGCTGCTGCTGCGGGCAGTACACCCTATTACGCGGCGTCGCCAGGTGACGCGGTGAAGCAGTTCTCCCCCTCCCTCAGGGGAGGGAACCGCTTCAGGCCTCCTTTGATCCTGTTCCGGTCGCCTCCCCGCCCTGTCCGATTCTGGTGGTGGCTCTCCCTTTGTTGGTGCCGAGATGGGGCGTAGCCATGGTAATGCTGGCCGCATTCATTGTTGAATAGTGCCGATATATTTGCTAGCTTTTCCCACTGCTGCTTCTGGTTGCCCGAGCCTGTTACCCTCTCCCCGCGGCAGTTTGCTTCACCTTCGCCTTCTTAGGGAGCCTCAGAAGTCGGAGGCCCTATGTAGTTGGAAACTAAGCAACCCAGAGCCATGTGGGAAAATGGTATTCGAAAGCTCTCACCGAACTGCATCAGATGGGTGTGACTGAACAATGACGAACGTGACCTCGTGGCAGTTCAAGCCAGGCCACGAGTCTAATAAGAGCTTGGTAGACTCATCGTGTTATCTCAAGAAATAAGCATGCTTTGACGATCTGGAATACGGCGTTGAATAGCTTTGGCGAGAATCTGCCAGCTAGGCGCTACTGAATACAACACGTGTGACCTTTGATGTGTCGTGCCAGGCCGAGGAGGTCAAGGCAATTGTTGAATTGACGCGCCCGGTCACATCAGGAAATGTACAACCTGCAGCAATAAAGAGAAAAAATCGTATAAGAGCTCTTTCAAAGCTGTTGAACATTTGTCATTCAGGTTTAAATGGTATGATCCTTTTTTCTTTTTCTTGTTGGTGGGCCAATGCAAGGCCTTTTTTCCCTCGACGGACTTAAAGTCACCTCCGAGGGGGGGGGGGATTTACTTCCGGCACAAGGCCAGGCAACGATTCCGTTAAACCAACTTATGCTGTCCGGCGCAAAGCAAGAGAGAGGGTATTATGAAGTGACGTTACGTCAACCTGGCTCAGTTTTGTTCAGCAAGATTATAGCAAGTAAAGCAGACCGCAGCAGTATGTTTATTTCATCACGACACAACACGCATTCAGTACGTTTGAACGACAATGAGCCTCCTCACCGGCCCTTCCACCAGACTCCTCAGGTGCCGCGAGGCCTGCGTGGGGTGTCCGTGTCAGCGATGGCCTTGGCTCAGCTGACTTGTCGGCGACTTGTGCGATGAAAGGATGCCGGCCCGCTTCGTCGCATCAACGGGGAGATCAGTCGCGGGCTCCGCTGTCCGGCACGACCTTGTAGTGCCGTGTGATGTTATTGGGTCCTGGAAAGTCCTAACTAGGAAAAACCGTGACTCCTAGCCAAGCGGGAAAAACCTGCCATCTTTGCCAAATTATGCAGGAAAAAACCCTTTATTCAAATGAAAATGTCTAATCCTGTACTGTGCAAAAACTCAAAGAGGAGCACGAGCAAATCAGGATAAGAATCACTGAGGAGAGAATGGGGGTTGAATGGAAGCCGATAAGCGTTGATGTAATTGATGAGCGATTGTCTTTTGTGTGATCCCCGAGCGGTAAATCCGGTCACAAATGTGAAAGTTTGGCCTAGTCTGAGTAACCTGGATACCCGGGGATTGCGATAGCGTACGGAGCCGCTGTAATGACTTAGAGTGATGTAGATAAGGAATCTAGGAAACTGGTTTGTACTGCATTCTGCGAGAAGTCAGCGATATTTGTCACTTCATAGTAGAATGTCATCGACATGACCACAAGAAAGAGGTCATAGATAATGAATGGTCGAAGTCGCGAGCTTTAAGTTTTCGCGTGTGTAAAAAATTAAACCCGGCCACGCAGAATTTCAGGGACGTACTCAAAAGTCCTCAGAATTCATTTCGGAAAAAACTCCTCCAAGCCCCCACCATGTAGGATGACCGTTAATGTTGGCTCATTGCCCCTGCTGGTGCCGACGGTTGCCTTTTTTCGCTGATCCCTGTTTATTCTGTCCTTGGTCCGGGTAAGTCCTGCAGGCATTCACAGACGGCGATGAATCAGTGTTGTTTGTCAAGGGCTGTCGTCGATAGCAGCGACGCCGACACGGGACTAGATGGAACCAACTGCGATGAACTAACCCAGCATGAGTTATGTGTTGAAACTAAGCGATCTCTGGTATGCTAGGAAGCTTTAGTTAGACGTAAATGCCAGGCAGAACTCCTAACTGGCACCTGAAACACTAAAAGTCGGCAAAGTCTTGGAAAGCTCTCGCAATGTGAGAAAAGCAGTTTAAGCCTTTCTTACCTGTATCCATATTGTGGCCTCGGACCTGATTGTGGGGGGGGGGGGGGGGGGGGCAGCTGAGATCAGTGACCTTGATACAGTCTGGACGTCCCAGATGAACGGGGCAGATACAACTTAGGGCCCGAGAGGCTAAACCAAACAGCGCGAAGGCCAGCACCCATCCTTCGATGCCTGGCTTTACCGTCCGAAGCGAGTTTTTAGTACGGATGGAATAACCACTCAGCCTGCACTGTCCTCGTCACTGTACTGGCGTACAACACACACCGGTGCTTACACAACCTGCCGGCCAGTGACTACCCCGGTCTCCGGTCGTCATATGTCACACGGTCCTGAGAAAGACCATTTGACGCAGCCGCGTCGCTTGTCGGTGTTACGCCGAACACGCACACGATACCACGTGACCGTGGGCCAGGCATCGAACGGTCACCACAGGGGTGCACGCCCGACATCTGCCCGTCGCCCCACGACGGTGCGGCAAGCAGCTAGCGGTC